CCATCACCCTACTTCTATCGCCGCCTCCCCCACCACGGCGGCGGCGGCTGTATGCTCTGGCGGCCACCCCAGCCGAGCAAATCGGCTGAGCTGGCGAGCATTAGCGCTTATTGGCGATCCCCTTACCGGACTTAGCTGCATTCCAGATGAGATGGAATCACGGCAGATCGCGGTCAAGCTTACATGATATGAGGCGCAGCCTTAATTATTTCCACGGATGCCATCGTCGGCTCCGTGTCAACGAGGATGATTACCATAAATGGTATGAGAAGTGGTCCCAGTTTGCTACCGCCATGAAAAGTAAAATACTGCAGCTATGCCTCGATGTATTTTAGTAGGATGATTGCAGCGTCCTCTATTACAGCTCTTGCAATGGGATAAAATCGTGGAATTTATTAATTACATGGCCGGACAGCCTTCCTGCTAATAAGGAAGGCGTAGATCACCAACGAAGTAAAAGTATCCTGGTTGCAGGCCAAGGTAATGCAAAGGGGCAATGTGTTGCTGCGCGTGTATGCTTTGTGATAGTTTTTATACCGTGGGAATCCGAATATCCATCAAATTTAGCTGCGAAAGTCATATGGGGGACTGGGGAGAATCATATAGGCAGAAATGTGGAGCTCGGAAATGTTTATGACATTTTAATACTTTTTCCTCTGTATCTTTCAAGACGTAATCTGAGGAGATTAACACGTATCACTGCAAAAAGGCGCATCACTTCAAAGAAACCGTTGCAATTTAAGCCCTCAGCTAACGAAAAGACTGACTTTTATAGCGCAAGATTCCATTTAAAACCAAGTTTGGGTACATGCACAATATATGATTACCGACGCTTTTAAATGCTTAGTAACCAAATGCTGCACAGAAATGAAATTTATGGAATTTTGAATATGTATCTATCTACTTAATGAAAGCATAAGAAGCGCCGTCCAAAAATGATCATGGCCCCAATTCCAATGTTACCTTAGCAGCATTGCCGTCCTGACCAAGTTACCCTGACCGGGTCAGAGCTGGCAGCGTATTGTTACATGCCTGATCACAGATGCGAGTGGTGTCTCTGTCTACGGCCCAACGGCGCGGATCGGCAACTTGGACGCGCTCTCGGCTCGTTCCGCGGCAAAGTTTGCGCGCTTCCGCGATGTGCGGCGCAATAGGAAGAGTTGGCCAGCGCGGCTATTGGTGCGCCGGCGGTGGTCCGAGATTGATCCGAGTCGACTGGTCATCTGACCGATCGGCCGGCCGGCTGTCCGACCGAACCAACTGCCGAACAGACGGACCGAACGGCGGCACGGCACAGCTCTATCGCCAGGCCGAGGGTCGACTCACGGACGAGCGGGACGAGCGCCTGTTGAGTGGGAACGGTGCCGAGCCGCGCTGGACAATCCTCTGTGCCAGCACGAAACTCTTCTCACCTCTCCCGCACGCGTATCCGAGCCAATGAGCGTCAGACACGCGAACGTGTGTGCTACTGAGCACATTCACTCTGGAAGCTTATGTCAAAATATACATCTCATGCCCCTGAGCACGCATGTTCGAACCCGCTTCAGTTTCTTCAAAAATCCATTTTCAGTATTGGCAGTATTGACAGAATGCAATGCTGTGGGCGTCTGGTATTGGACGGTGACCGACAGACTGTTACTGGCAGGCGGTGGGTGGTGGATAATGGACGGCACTCAGTGGATGGTGGGCAGTGGACAGTACAGTGGGCAGTCTGGGCGGTGGTGGGAGTGGATGTGACAGAGCTGGGTGGTGGATAATGGACGGCACTCAGTGGGCGGTGGGCAGTGCCGGCAGTGGACAGTGGGCAGTCTGGGCGGTGGTGGGAGTGGATGTGACAGAACTGGGTGGTGGATAATGGACGGTACTCGATAGGACGGTGGACAGTGGACAGTGGGAAGTCTGAGCGATGGTGGGAGTGGATGTGGCAGAACTGGGTGGTGGATAATGGACAGCAGTCGGTGGGCGGTGGGCAGTGGACAGTGGGCAGTCTGGGCGGTGGTGGGAGTGGATGTGACAGAACTGGGTGGTGGATAATGGACGGCACTCAGTGGGCGGTGGGCAGTGGACAGTGGGCAGTCTGGGCGGTGGTGGGAGTGGATGTGACAGAACTGGGTGGTGGATAATGGACAGCAGTCGGTGGGCGGTGGGCAATGGACAGTGCGAGTGGATGTGACAGAACTGGGCGACAGACAGTGAAGACTGGGCGGTGGGCGGTGGACGGTGGGCGGTGGACGGTTGTCGGTGGACAGTGGGTAGTGGACAGTGACCACTGAGCGGTGGACGGTTGGCGGTGGACAGTGGATGGTATGTGGTGGGCGGTAGGCAGTAGACGGTGGGCGTTAGACGGTGAGCGGTGAGTATTGGATTGTGGACGGGTGAACACTGGGCAGTGGGCGGTAACCACTGGGCGGTGGACGGTGTAAGCACGGTGGGCGGTGGGCCGGCGTGCCCCGCTCTCCGCCACTGCTCTCGGGCCGATCGATGGTGGGGGACGTGCCGGCGTGGCGGCCCGTCGAGCAGCCGCCGCGGCTCTGCGGCGCTCCGGCCGGCCGGCGGGGACAGTCCGGCTGGCTCTATTGAGCGCCACCGGCCGCCCTCTCACCTGGCTCACCTGCCACTCTGCCACTCTGCCACTCTCCCACTCTGACCACCCCGGCCCACTCCTCCCGCTCTGCCCAGCCCCCAGCAGGAAGTGCAGCGCGGCACCCACCGAGCGAGCAGAGGGATCAGAGCGACCGGCAGGCCATTCTTCTGCATTAGCGCCGCTTTATGGTCTTTCAGGGGCCCTGGCACCTGGAAAGCATTTATCGGTCAGCCGTGCGGCAACGTAGTACAGTGCGATATATATTAACCGTACCGTAAAGTGAAATCTACCGTACCGGAGACAGGCGTAGTTGGCGCATGCGCCGTACGAGCGCATCGCCTAGCCGCCATTGTCGCTTCAGAGCTCAACCGCAGCGGACACGAGTGGTTTCTGCGAGTGATTTCTTCTGTCGTGAGTACACATTCCGGGCGTTATGAGCCACGCTTGAGAGCACAAGCAGCTATAGCCCGGTGAATTCCCTGTGTTGGGTGCGTGTCCAGGCTGCGGCAGTGGGGTATGGGCGTGGTCACCTCACCAAAAAACCAGATGGACGTGAATACAGTCCCATTGTCACACTGCATCTGGTTTTGTTGCAAGCGCGAGCTCGACGGATAAATGGTCTTTCAGGGGCCCTGGCACCTGGAAAGCATTTATCGGTCAGCCGTGCGGCAACGTAGTACAGTGCGATATATATTAACCGTACCGTAAAGTGAAATCTACCGTACCGGAGACAGGCGTAGTTGGCGCATGCGCCGTACGAGCGCATCGCCTAGCCGCCATTGTCGCTTCAGAGCTCAACCGCAGCGGACACGAGTGGTTTCTCCCACCACCGGCCCCATGCGCCCTGCCGTTAATTAAGGTGTTAGGTATTGAGTGTTTATTATGCGTCGCCTACCGGATTGTATTCCTGTGTGCCATGTGGTCACCTCACCAAAAAACCAGATGGACGTGAATACAGTCCCATTGTCACACTGTCACACTGCATCTGGTTTTGTTGCAAGCGCGAGCTCGACGGATAAAATATTTTACGAACGCAGCCAATCGCAAACCATTGAATCATATTAGCACGTTGTGTGGTCTGTTGCGCCATGTCATTATGTTCTGCAGAGGAGAGGGGTCAGGGTCATTTGGTCACACACGAATGCTCTTGCTCGCTGGAACTATGAGAAGTAGGCATTAGTGTCGTACTTACGGGTCATAAGTCATGCTTAGAAGATCATTCTGAATAATTTTACACAGGTCTACTAGGTCTAGTAGATTTGAAGCCTCCCTTTGGTACTATATTGCAATGTCATATAATGAACAGGCCAACACGTCATGAAGCAAGTTGTTTGCTTGCCAGACTCCGTTTTAATGTATCGGAAGAGAGCTTATTGTATTGGTCAAGCCCTTTAACCCGGCAGTTGCTGGGGTATTTCGCCACCCACCGTTTGCTGGGGGGGGGGGGGGCGTTAAACGCCCCCAGCCGATAACTCGAGAACCAATAGGCGCAGCGAAACGCACGAGGCGGCAAACGAAAGAACGCGACGAGACGCTTCAGATGAGTACTTTAAAGTTGAATTTTGAGGTCACAGGTCAGGTCAAGGTCAGGTCAAACACCTGAAATCGGGCTTTCAGTAGCATGGACTTCAGGACTTCGCAATGGGCGCCTCTCGTCATAAACTCTGTCAAAACGGTGCACAATCCATCATATAAGGCCTACAAGAGTGTCAGCTCCATGCAGGGGTCAGTCAAGCATAGGTCAGGGTCAAGGTCAGGTCAACCGGGCAGGCACATATCCCCGAAAATAAAAACTGATATTCGCAGCCTGTGACACATGTTTTATGGGTAATTTGGGGCGTAGAACACGATGGTGATATTCATTTTATCATATGTGTACGTGTTTGGCTAAAAAAGTTCAATTTAAGAAATTCATGTATCACGGTCGTGAAGTAGTCACGAGAAATTGCCAAGATTCAGTTCAAGATTTTGGAAAATGCGGAACGATAATCAATAATCGAAGATTGCCATTTGATTCTTCATGGTATTGGCAGTCTAATGGCGTTTACGGCATGTCTATATGTCTATTGTGTGATTTTATATGATTTTTTGAACATATGCCGTTTTTGGTCGAAAACTCAGAAATCATGACGTCACTAAAACCTGGATATCTCAAAAATTTTCCGACCGATTTTTTTGAAACTTTGACACAATAAACTTCAATCAATTCCCTACAGGTACCCAGAATTTGGCGCGCCTGCGGCGCGCCGTTTTTATGCTATGGCCCGGCGAAAAAAGTGGGGGCGTTTAACGCCCCCCCCCCCCAGCAACTCGCGGGTTAAAGGAAAAGTGCCACCTTCTTGAAATATGAAGATATCGTTGGTTTTTATTTTGACATTATTATTTTCCATTTTCTTTTCAAAACCGGTGCCAGAAGTGCATAATTCGCTAAAAAGTATTTCAAACTATTTAACATATTGGTACTATGTTTATACTCTCTACCGCAGCTACTGTATGATGTCATAGCAATGACGTCACACTCAAGCCAATCAGCCTTGAGGAGGATAGACTCGTCGGACTGTAGCGGTTGTAAACAACTTGTCGCCCCGTGTGTCTGCCCGTGGCGCTAGTTATCTGTCGAAGGTAAGGGTGAAAGATGGATATAATGGCCATGGAACGCTATTTTAGGATTATTGGTGAATAGCAAGAATATAGTTTTGGTGGTTTGAAATTGTTTGTCCTCAGTGATTGGCTTGATTCTCATTTTGCGGCATAAGCGGCTGTTTGGTTACATTGCATTTTTTATGATTGTGTAATTATTATGATGTTCCTCCAAAGTAGGCATCACATATCAATCTCAAAGGCAGATCATCTTCTTTTCATGCCTATAATTTTCTTCAAGAATATTAATAAAAAATATTCCATTTACCCCTGCCTATCATATATCCCATGGAGCTGCCGGTGGAAGTAGGCATGCAATGTGACCTAGCATTGGCGATGTGGTTAATTAGCTTTAAAGTACTATGGAATGCTAAAGGTCATCATTTAGAATGGTTTTCAAAACATTCCACTAGGAAATATTCATTGAAACCTGAAAATTACTTACAAAATGTAAATGTATAGCCACGTCTCAAGAGCATTCAGCCGTCTTCTCAGTACCTAAATATATAATGAAACATAATCTTACCTGACCTAGCCTTACCTACAACCTACAACGTACGGCATTGGTAAAGCTGGCATCACTGTCAGCGTATATTAGTTTGGTAGGTTGTGGGTAGGTAGGTTGCAGGTCAGTAGGTAAGGTTAGGTTAGGTTAGATTGTTTTTAAGATTCCTTTTATCTACACATTTACCGGTTAGCGCTGACGGTGACACCAGCTTTACCGATACCCAACCTACCACCTACAACCTACAACCTAAAACCTACATTCAATGGTGGCGGGTGGTGATAATTGTTATACCTATATGATAATACTGGAGATAAATACCATACAGATTAGCTGGTATCCATGACACACTTTCTTAAGAAGAAGGTCTTCTATTAAATCATGTCTATTTTATAGGAATGAAATGATTTTTGTTGTAGTCACATTCCCTACTCTGACCATCATGTCTGATTATTTCCAGTTACCACTGACAATGCCCAAAACAAGAACAACAAAGGCCCAAAGGTGGCTGTTTGGTAGTGCGCAAAGCTGCTGGTAAGTGGCATCAAAGGATAGGATGTTGTTGTTGTTATGGGTTAGGGCGCGTAGCAACTTGGCTCTTGCGTCCAACATCAAAGGATAGGATGTGCTTTGTTATTTCCAGGCACGTAGCCAGGATTTTGCTCAGGGGGGGGGGGGTCACAGGTTGTGGCCTAGTGTTGTACCCCCCTCCAAAAAAGGAAAATTTCTCTGATTAGGCCCACTATTTTGGGGGTGTGTCACAGCTGTTTTTATTTAAAAAAAAAATCGCCATCACCGAGGGGGGAAGGGGCACGAGGGCATGGCTCCCGTGCCCCTCCCCCCTCCTTGGTTACGTCCCTGGTTATTTCTGAGAGTTTGGATATCACAAAGCTTTAGATATAAATTAGAATGTAATAAGAAGCTTTCAGCATTGCACCTTTCCAGACACTGATAATTCATTTGCCTTTATTGTTTCAAAAGTCAATTTTCAACAAAAAAAAGTTGAAATTATTAACTCAAATAATTGCAAATATATACTTTGGTAATTTGCCTTTCGCATCACTATCAACAAAATAATCAAGGGTGACTAAATATGAAATGTTCCTGCATGATCTTCATCGTGAACAATTGTCAAGGTATGATGTTTGCGTGTTGAAATGTTATAAAGAACTTATGTCATAAAAACACAACTTGTAAAATTGTGTCTTTCCATATTATTCTGCAAGTAAGCCTTGGAAGGAAGAGACACTATTCCGTCCTACAGAAGCCATTTAGAAATGTGTGACATGTTCACTTTGAGTCAGTCGGTGCCCGGACCTCAGTCGGCTGTATGACCGTCTCCTCGTCCTCTTTTGTCGGCTCCGCCCCGTGCTGTTCTATAAGGGTGTCTGACCCGCTGCCGCTATCCCCACTGTGAGGTCTGACCCGCCGCGCGCTGTCACCACTGTCGGCCCTCTGTGTGCGCGGCAGGTGGTGGTGGACGTCTCTGCCCTGACGCGCGGCGTGCGTCTGCTCAGTGTGGAGGTGCCGCTGACAGCGGTGCCGGCCGGACCGGCTGCCTCTCCGGCGGCCGACATTGAGCGCGGCACGTGTCCGCCGCCGTTCGGGCCGCTGCAGCTGCTGCAGTCGGCGGCGCAGCTGTCCGTCTCCGTGTCGCTGGCCGTGCCGCTGGACCTGCTGCCGCGGCCGGCGCCGGCGCGCTGCGCCTACGGCCGCCTGCTGGCCGTCGTCTCGCAGCGCGGCCTGCAGCGCAGCGGCGTGCTGCAGCTCATCCAGCAGCTCAACGAGCCGCCCAGCCCGGCGGCGGCCGAGGGCGCCGCGCCGCGCCGGCCCGGCGACGTCAGCACACCTGGCATCAGCGGCTTCTGCCTGGCCGACCGTCAGCTGCACCTGCTGTTCGCCGAGGGGCGCGCCGACGCCGAGCTGGAACAGACGGCGGCCGCGCCGCGCGCTCTGCCGCGCCGCGACGCTCGACTCTGCCACCACTCGGGCCTACTGTTACGCCGTCCGCGCCATCAGAGAGTGCTTCCGCACGCAGTGGCTGTCGGAAAATGAACCTGCTTCCCAACGAGGCCGGCCTGCAACAACTGCTGGCCGGCTGTTGGCCGAAAAAAAACGCCTTCAACCGGATGTCAGTTGTCAAATCAACGCGTATTAATGCATTCAATAGGATGGGCTTACGTAAAGCTGTATAATTGCAAATATATAATGGCACTGTTTTTGATCCGTTCGGTATGCATTGGTATCATATGATCTCTCATTCACAGACGATCAGCTGCGAAGACCCAGATCCGTAGTAGAGGGCTCATCGAGTCCGGGTCCAGCTCCCCGTACTTCCTCCACTTTGGAAACACCGCAGCGCAGATCACAGTTATACATAATATTTAGTTTTCATTCACTTCATAACCGAAGGTTGTTTGATAGGTGATATGCTGCTTGAGTTGCACCCCGGTATATCAATACGAAGCTTCCGTCCCTGCCACATACCAGTGAAGGAGGCGGCGGCGGCGGCGGCCGGGGCCGGGCTGCCCTGCCCACCGACACAGTCTGTGAAATGCCCCAACAACCTTTAAAATTCAACAGGCTTCATAAATGTTTTTTTGCACCATATTTTCTCGCGTATATGAAAGCTCTAAAATGTACAATATTCCTTTCAGCCACAAGCGATATAAAAGCTCTACAAAACGTCATGTCTCTGTGTGCAAGAAAGACACATATATTGTGTATAATCGAGCGTACATGATCTGCAGCGCTGCGGAGGGCTGCTCGGTTGCCGCTTTTTACCAGTCGGCTCTAGGTCGGACATATGGGTAAACAAAATGGAATAGTAATATTAAACAATGCTACCTGCTGATGCTACTGGGCCTCTCATTGGTGAAGAACTGGCAGCCAGCCAGCGTGTTTTTGTGAGAACTGTTTTAACAGCAGCAACCGAACGGCTCTCGGGCCAGCGACCAGTGAGCGTAGACAGCACAGCGCTCCGTTAGGCATCGGCGGGCAAGCACGCATTAGCTGTGGACGGACCGGCCGCCCGAACATATTTGTCGGTATCGAAAGTATCGTGAACCAAATGACTGCTAGCGAAAAAAGGACTGCCTCTCGTATCCATGAAAACATGTGTTCTACAAAAGTACATAATTGCTTAGTTGTCGCCAATCACTCATTGCACCATGGCGTCAGTGTGGGGCCGCGCCCCGAATCATCTCAATCGCCAGGCAAAGCATCTCAATCGACAGGCACATGGTAGTCCAGCTACGAATCCGAGCCGCGGCATCCCGTCTATGTATCTACATTACACCACAATCGAACACTGTCGGGCCACAAGAGACAGCAGTCTCCAATGTAACATCAAAACCCGCCACTCGTCTAATATCAGAAAAATGAGCATTGAGTACCTACCGAATATCGACTACAGAAGATTACAATGGGGTGCAGATCTAGCAAGAGTGTCGCGGTTCGTCTCGGCACGGCTTACAGGCCGCCGAGCCCGCGCAGGTGACCGCCAGCTCCACCTGTTCCACCTCCGGCGCGGAAGCTCGATCACAAGACTGACCTCAGTCGGCGCTCTGTGCTCGGCACAGGGCGACCGGGTCAGGAGCGGGCCGCTGCCGCCAGGGCCGCGGCCACCAGCCACGCGGCAGCGCCCGCGCACCGGCCGCCACCACCCGCTCAGCCCAGATGCGCGCCACGGCGTCATTGGGGCTTCCCTGAGCAGGATCGAACCAGAGCTGCATGCACGGCTCCGTATCCGCCGTGAACTTCCACGAGTGATCCCACACCTGAAAAAGGCGCACGGTTTGCGTCACAGCTCGGCTCACTTTCACAGTCCACGCACCGGCAGCAATTAAGGGCTACTTAGATAGTGTGCTAATAGAGCGCAATCACTTAGCTTAATCCATATAGTCAACCATGAATTGTTAATTACGAGCGAGCGAGCGAAGCGAAGTCTTTTCAATATCACGGAAAAAGCTCAGTATGAGCGGCCCGACCCGGCCCGGCCTGTAACGCTTTTGAGAGGCTTATATCTCAGCAACCGCTGCACAGTGGGGATTTTTCCGATCTAGCGCCTATTAATTCAAAAAATATTTTTTGGATTTTGGTTTATTTTTTGTGTCAGTAGGGCTAAGAAATGTCTGAATTTTTCATATATGGCATTGTTTTATCTGTATGTCCACAGCAAAACTAGGAAAAATGCGCCCAAAGTTCACACTCATGCGTGATTACTCAATGGGCTCAGCAAGGCCCGAAAGTATAGCTCAATTTCATTGTCCTGTCCTGTTGGTTTTAATCTTGCGAGGTCTTAAAGTTGCATATCGTCTGAAAGGCACCTTTATTAGGAATGGAATGGCAAACAGAAAGTATGCCACAACCTTACTAAGGTCACAAAAATGCCCTTTACAAAAAAACCCTTACAGACACCATATTGAAGGAATGGTATTCTAAATAAATGTAGGAAATCAACAATGTCCTCCACACTTTTCCACTCCGAAATATATCCTATCGAATTCGCCACATTCTTCTGCACAAGACAACGCCTAGTTTGGCTGCCGGAACTTGCCTGAACACGGAATATTCACAACACCCCACTCGAGGAGCGCTAGGGCAAACAGCACGATATAGGTATGTTTCGGACATAGGCGAATAATTTTACTTCGTGATTTATATGATGCATATTTTCTGAGACACATTCATTAGGAATAGGATGACAAGCGTAAATTATACATACCGTAACCTAATTAACCATCGCACTGGTGGGGAGGGGGAGGGGGAAGGGGTCGGATAAAACCCAATGGTTTTCCGCAAATTACTCGCGCAAAAAGCGGCCGATCGCGCCGAAACTTTCGGTACCCTCGAGATCATCAATTTTACATCTAACCTAAAAATTTCATGACTCTGACCCAACTGACCTTTGACCTGTGGCATATTTCTCGAGACCATGTTTGGCCGGAATCGCGATTCGGCGTATGCCAGCTCACATTATCCGCGGTTTCCAGTCTTTTTGTGGTTTTAAACGTTCAAATATGTGAAATGATGTTGGTGCCATGCATAATGGTGGGTGTCAGGGTCACGTGAAGGTCAAGTCAAGGCCATTGACCTTTTGATGACCTTGGTTCACTTTTTCGAGTTTTACTTGTTTCTAGGGTAGTCTTTGGTGCTGATTTCGATTTTAGCAGCCATTTGAATATTTACGAAGTAGTTCTAGTGCCTTCGTTCCATGTTACGAAGCTATCAGTAGTAGGTGACACTTCTATGGATGGCCGGCAGGACGCCTACTAATTGATCTAACATGACCTGACCCGACCTGGCCTAAATGCATAAAGACATCGTCTGTGATCAAAACTAACATGACATTCGTGATCAGCACCCCAAAATACCCCGTAACACCCTAACTTTGCGAAGATTCAAGAGGTCTCGATTTCCCAACTTTAGTTAGGTCATTAAACTGACTTGGAAAGTCAGCTTATGACCTTGGACTTTGAAATTGGATATATTCGGCCTAATGTCGTCATAGGCAGCACGCTTGACTTTTCCGCGAAGCTCTAGCTTGATCAGGGGCCAAACGGCTGAGCGGGGGGTCCAATTGAACCCCCTATATATGTTGATTATGCACATTTACAGGTAAAATTCTCACCAGGACACACCAGCCAACATCTGTGCACAATCTGGCTACAATTCTACCTATGGTTTGCCCCCTACGAATAAATACGTGCTAGATCGGAAAAATCCCCACTGTGCGCTGGACCGATTGGCCTGCGGTCTTTTTTTTGTTGGCTAGCACTATTCCCTCTACCCCGTAATTGACTACTCTTGATACATTACAGGGACCGTCGTGGCACGTGCCACGTGAAAAGTCAAGGGTGTTATTTGTCAAAAGTTGCAAAAGAAGTGATTTTGAGAGGCTCATCTCAGCAGCCGCTTGGGCGGTCTTGCGGTAAATTTTGTAGGGTAGCTGCACCCCTTCAACCAAAGGTCGGATGCTCTTGATCTATGTGAGTGACCCCCACTGCACGTGCAAAATGCAAAAAGAAGAGGTGCCGAATTTGTTCCCATTTCAATAACTCTGTAATTACTGGGGCGATTTAGCTGAAACTTGGCATACAGGTAGGCAGTAGGCACCCACCAGGCAATGCATTCCCATATGTTGCGGTTAGGGTGCTACTGCTTGTGTATTATGTGTAAAATAAAGGACGCTTGAATCTTACCTGAGTGATGTCCATTTCTTGATCACTTTCATCTGTGGGTGACCGAGCAGCGACAGCAACCCAAGGCGTATACGGAATCTGTAAAAAATCAGCACACCGTTACCACATGTTTTAATAAAACTTACCTATAGGGAGGTAGCATAAAATACAGATCAAAACAATAACATACAAACATACAGATATTCGGTTAGGTTGAAATGGCTAAAAAATATAGAAAATAAGGGCAAGGTACTAGGGCTGTAAAGCTGTAAGGGCTCGGTACTAGTAATAATTTTTGGCTAAAAATATCACAAATAAAGACTCTGCACTAAAGCTGTAATGTCTGGTACTAGGAATAACTTTAGAGTGAAGTGTTACAAAAACAATATTCAAAGTCTTTTGATAACTTTGCAGGCATTTTCATCACTTTTAAAAAATAACTTACATTCTGATCCGGCACAGCACTGTTCTTTAGACGCAAACGTTTTTGACTGTGCTTATCATGGTGCGCACTTCTTGTTAAGTTTAAGTGGTCATGTGGTCTTGGCTCATTGGTCATGCCACACACCCTCATCCACTTTTCTCTGTACTTCTTTTTTTAGCGGGAACCTAAAAGTAAAAAAGGGTCAACACATGCTTAGTCCATGCAACACATACTCTGTGTATTAAGCTGAATAGCTCCACTGAGCCCAGTTTCACCAAGTGCGGTAAACTTAATTTTGGGGTAGTTTTTGTAGTTAAGTAGTGGGGTAGTTTGGTAGTTTACCCCAAATTGAGTTTACCGCACTTGGTGAAACTGGGCTCTGGTGAGTTTCCTTTTCTTGTCAGCACATAAGTGAAAGAAAACTGTGTAGACAAGAGATGAACCAAACCCCCATGGAAAGGTAGGTGTTACCACAACCAGGAAATGGGATTTGAAGGGCTGGATAAATGTGTCTGAGTTCTGCCTTTCAGCAGACTGGAAAACATCCATACACTACGCCGGATGCCCGTGAGCCCCTCATGCGCCAAAATTTGAAGCAAGCAATTTTGAGCTGAAATTCCAGTGCATGATTTCCACTGAAAGTTGGGTGCCTGTTTGCACCAAAATTAAGCCACTTTTACATAAAGCACATGTGCATATCTACCGACCAAGGCTATATCAACCAGACAGATCGTTCCGGGGCCTCGGAATCAGACGCTCTTCCCTTTCTGAGCGTCTGAATTAGTTAATGTTCCCATGTAAACCCAATACCACAATTTGTGTGGCACACTGTAGAGGAAATAGTTCACTTTCACGAAATTATTTTTTTTGCAATGGATTTGTGATTTTTTATGTTCAAAATGATCAGCAAAGAAAATAAAACCTTTTTACAGCAAAAGATTATTTTCTATATTTTTGATATAGGAAGAACTTTTCAGTTTCTGTAAGGCACACGCGATCCAGTATGAAAAGAGCATGGGTCCCGAAAATTCTTAGAAACTAGAGAAATTATCGCGGCCACCGGCATTTGGGCGATCTGCTCGTGCTTTTGTTACTGGAGCGCCTCACTGGAGCGAATTTCTCTAGAGTTCTCGTAGATAATTTCTCTAGTTTCTGAAGAATTTTCGGGACCCATGCTCGTTTCATACTGGATGCGAATATATGCAAGGCACACATCCTCAACGTAAGACACATTTTTCGGGACGAGAAATAGAATATCTTTGCCTAGGGTGATCGTTGGGCTGTAAAAGCTCCTGATTTATGCTCGTCTCAGCCCAAGCTACGGAACTGCTATTCCAGTTCAAAACCCATGTTAAAATGTGAACTATTTCCTTTAAGGTGAAACAAGGCCCAGGCCGGAAGTTCCGACTCTCTTCAGACCTGCCAGCGCCCGCAGGGCAAGTCTGCTGCTAGATTGACCACAGCGTGTCAAAAAATTCGGTGACAGCCATTTGCATAAACATTATGCGCCATGCGGTCACCCTGCGCCTAAAAATTCAGCTGCCACCATGCGTTGAATTTGACGCATGCAAAATTATGCTGGATGTGCGATGAAATTTTCGGGGCAACGCCGCAATCACGCCACTTCGCATGACATATTCGGCATAACTTGCGTTTTTTTATCCAGTCTGGCATTTCAGTTGTGAAAGCCTGAACAGTTCAAAAGGGTTTGCTAATCCAGGGGAGAGTTCTGTGAAAACAAAAGTAATAGAAGAGCCATTGCAATAAATAAGAATTTAGGTACCTACCTAGGTACTTACTTGTGCACAGTCACACGCATATCAGTCCCGACCCGACGTAGGTCGTTTGCTCCGCGGATCACGCACTTCTTCATCGTTATTACTTATTATAGGTATTTGTTCGAACAAAAATGCCCTGATTTCGGATCAGAGCCACGGTATAAAATATGGTATACTGCCTTGCGTAAGATAAAAATGCATTTTAGCAATTGGCTACCAAACGAGATGTCATCTGTTCAGGGCATAGCATAGGTTTACTTTCATAGACCTCATGAAAGTAGCTCATGAAACTCATCACCAATCAGCGCGACGGATTTCAAGATTCGATTGCGGATGTTCATCCGCCGGCCGATTGCCAGAACAGACAACGAAAAATAATGCAACTGCTCGTGGTCTGCTCGCTAGTACAGGGATCCGTGCCTGATCAGTACTGCTGCAAGCTGATTGGTTAAAAACCAAAGCCTCGCCGCGGGTGGCTGTATTGTCGGATAAGAACGCATTCCTGGGATAAGAACGCATTCCTGGCATATTTTCTTTTAAAATTGCCGATAACTACGAATGGAGGCCGAAATCGGCCGTAAGGAGGTAGACAGAGAGGTTTTCGGACACGGGCTACAAGATGGCTATCTCAGTTTCAATCCCCATGTTAAAGGTGGCCCTTTTCCTTTAAGCCTTGTTACTTTGAACTATTTTCATTTAAGTTAACACTTGAAATATTTACACCCGTCAGCATCCATTTATTCCTGTGGATAAAAACTACACAGAATAAGCAATAGCCAGTCCTTGCATCTGATTTGACAACGCTTGTGCAATGACACTGCACACTGCATAGACAATAAGCATATAGTGGAGCGACTCTAAATGTTAGGGCAGTGCTCCAATTAGTCGCCCGGTACAGCTAATGAATGCTTTTTCTTTCATCCGGCCCACCAGCAGGTCTAAACTACGCCGGCGAGCGCACGGACCTCTTTTCGTGGTGTTCAATGAGGATCATTTGTGACACCAACGCTCCTTATTGTGTCAGTGGACACCGGTGTATTTCGTGGTCTCACGGTAGACAGGGAGATTTAAGCACACATTCAGTGGGCCAGGTATTCCATTTTTTTATGGTTCCACTAGACCTAAGCGTCGACGAAATTAGAGGAATGTATCAACGAATGCGGCAGCAAGGTTACGTGTAAACGAGTAGAGAACATGAAAAGGAATGCATCCGCATCAGCGGAAACATTTCCGTCTGATATGTTCTGAGAGATGTCGATTATTGATGTCGCTTACTTGGCATAAACACTTGTAACTGCCGCTCATCTGGGTAAGCAGACACATGCATCATGGTATACTCGTAGTTCGTTCCTAGGTAGAACGAACAATGAAGTTTGCGAGTACCTAATGGTCATTGGTCGCCATGTGCATTTATATGTTGTTGCATAGGTATATGTAGCGTAACGAAATGAGGTAAATGAGGAGCTCAACATCTCTCATTTTAAAAGGGTCGGGTCAATCATATTAACCGATTTCCCGCATATTTTTGCGTTATTCTGGCATGCTCCAAGTGATGGGGGAATTATGAAAGACAAGAATCATTTTGCATAGATATGCGCTATTGTAATATGTATCTGTGCTGCTGTTCTATATGTGTTTTGGACTAGCGAAACCTCCGAAGCTGCAGCGGAGTTTTCGACGGTAGCGGCGCATAGGCTTCTCAGACCTCACTGTTCCCCGGCCCTCGGCCTATCGAGCGCCTCTCATTGCTCAATCAGTGGTCCAATTCTGGCCTCTCTTTTCAGTCAGGATTAGACAAAGAAGCCCACAATCTCCCGATGCAAAAGCGTGAGAAAGTTCCACCGGCTCGAAATCAAACTCAATCTGGGCTAAGGAAATGTGTGAGGGTCATTTTGCAGAGCTGCGGGAGGCTCGCGGGCGCTCTATTGACCCAGGGTCCTGATGGGGCGGCGATCCCAGGAGGAACGCCGGCTCTTTTTCTTCGCCCCTCCCCTCAGCTGTTGTTATTGGATACCTCCGAGCCAGCAAACGGCGTCGGTGGGGGCCGTTGGATTGAACGAGTGTGACAGATTAAGCCATCACTGAGAACAGAGCGCCATCAGCGCGGAGGCCGTTCGTAGATGGGCCGACCGCTACTCTGCGGCCGCTGTTTTGGCATCCGCGGCACAATGATGGGAGTCTGAACGACACCACATCATTGGACGCCCTGGGCTTGGGCCGCCGCCGGTGATCATAGGGCATCCTAGGGCGCGGCGTAAAAACATGTTCGGAAAGCCTCACTGATCATTTGCACCAAGTTTACCTACACCCAATTCTGACGAAGGAGCGGAGGACGATCGATCATTGGCTGAGTCTACAGGGACCTAACGGACCTAACATGACGATCTGACCTAATATGTCTCGTGTGACCCATCACCCCCCTACTGGTGGCGATGGCCGGTCTCGCCAGCAGCGATCCTGAGGCAAACGAGGAGTTCAACATGTTCTCTCCTCTCTTCAGCCCCACACAACACAAGGTGGTGAGACCGGCGGCCAACCCCTCTGAGCAGATCCACGTCAACACCAGTATTTATCTAGTTTACACAGACTTGCACGAGGCTGTCAACAAGGCTACGCTGGGAACCGGGCTGCAAATGGGCAAGGTGGACCAACGGATGGGCTGGAGCGGGAGCGATGGATGTCATCTGTGTAATTTGTGATTACAATAGCGTTAGATCAAATATCCAGCTGACACTTTTCAGACATTTTGAATAAAAGTATCACAAAATGTAGGCATTGTCATCGCATAATATGCAACAAATATCACGTCTTTATGTACATAAAGTTGAAGGAAAAATGTGACACGTTCTAGCCAAAGAGAAATGTCCCTTTATCAGTGGCGCGGTACAAAACATTTTAATTAATCGCGCAACGCAGGAGCCATTTGTGAGAATTTCAACTGGCATGCAATTGCTTCCTGTCTGGGCAAATGAATATGCAAAGGGATGCAACACCAATCTCTCCTGTCGGGATCCCGGCGACACTGAGAAATGACCTCTGCAATCTTAACCAGCACTCGTACAAAGTCGGGCGGGCCGGCCAGGAGCCGCGGCGCGGTGTCCGACGGAGACGCATGTGGCTGGTTTATTGGACGGCCTCCTGTGCGGAGCCACCATCAGTGGAACTTCAGACACTGCCAGCTGCGCCCCTCCACTTCACTGCATTAGTGTTGGCGCCCCGCCGGCGCGGCCTCATCTGTATCCGTGAACACTGGTAACTTAGCCGGCTGAAACATTTCTGTGAACTGTGAACGAGACGGGAGAGAATTCGTCGCGGAAATTATAAGACCACGTAACTCGTTGTTCAGCTGCACCACCTGAAAGCTATTCGACTTTCGTCATTCATTCATTCTACCTCATTGGAGAAGCACAAACGCGATGACAGCTTATGAATGTTTGAGCGGTTAGATTCGGCCAGCGTCCTAAGGGCTGAATATGAGAGAGGAGCATGAGGTCCTTTAGCATAAGGTACTTTATCATGAGGTCCTTTCGGTCTAATAAGACCGTTCCAAGCCCATGTGATTGGAACACAGGGGAAGATTTTGGGCCGAGTCGACCACCGACTGGTGCGCCGCTGTCGTTGAGCACATTCTGGGACGGGAGAGTCCCTGTGAGACGGGCCACCCAGCCACTCAAACACTGACCCTGAAGGGGCATGTCTAAGAAAATAATAGTGTAAGCAGCTGGATGCGGAATGCGGATGCGTTGGTCCTGAGGAAGAAGGGGAGGGAAAAACTTCTCCAAATAAGGTGTGCGTGTTAATAAGGTACCGAGGAATGCTATTACACGTACTGTTGGCAGCCATGTTATTCTTGCTGTTTCATATGAACAGTCCCAGTGGGCATTATCTGCGCTAAAGTTTCTCGCCATTGTTTTTCTTGGCGAAGAATTTCAATAGCAATGCTCATTACCTCCGTTCCCACCATTTTTCCATCCAGAGAGGCTGTTTTGAACCTCGCCAGTCTTTCTAACAGGCAAACAAACGGCACTGTGCGCGGTCGGCATTCAGAACCACTCGGCCGGCGGGGCTCCACTTGAGCGCCAGCCTCGTTTGAAGCCGTACAACGCTCTGGCCCTGCGGATCGTGACTAGAGTACTTACAGAGCTTTAGCGCTAGTTCATAAACGACAGGTTAACTTAAAAACTTAAATATGAACAAGGTCGAAATGTTTTGAGGCATATGCATGGATTACTTTAAACGACACACTATTCAATATATGTTGTGGTTGTCCGACGTCCATGCCTATCACACGTACAATACAATGCAGCTGGGCAGCATCCCATGTATTTGAGCCCGAGGCTGATGCATACGTAAAGGAATCGTTTCGCCTCCCGGCCGGCTGTTTCCGCCTCCGAACGACCGGCCAATCTGATGATACGGCGCGGCCATGCGGTGCTCGTAAACCGGTGATGCATAAACTTTCGGCGGCGCCAGCGCCCCAGCCACATGGCAACCGAGATGGCTCTTACAGCCCGCACCAGCGCACTGCGGCTAGATACGATCCGCTAGGGTCGAGCTGCTGCCAGGACACACTCCCGCGTATCGCTCAGACCGTGACCGTATCGCACCCCGAGGCTCGCAGCTCGAAGACGGACGGCGTCCGCCATGTCGGCGGCGCCGCTCGGCCGTCTGACCATTCCGCCCCATCGGCCGGCTACAGCGACCCGGACTTCCAGCCCAGCGGCTCCCTATCGATAACAGTCGTCTGTTTTTGTTCCCAGACTGAGCGGCGGCCGCCGGCGCTGCCGCTGTGGGCCCTGCTGGTCACCAGTGGCGCCGCCCTGGTGGCCTCCGCCGACACCAGCAGCGACATCTGTCCGGAGAAGTGCAGCTGCTCCGAGCAGACGCCGCGGGCCGTCAGCTGTCGAGGACGCAGTCTGGTGGAGCCCCCTGACGGCCTCCCACCGGACACGGCCGTCCTCGACATCAGCTCCAACCGTCTGGCCGGCGGTCTGGCCGAGCTCGGCCGTCTGACAGCGCTGCGCGAGCTCCGGCTGGACGACAACCGGCTGCCAGCGGTGCCGCGCGGCGCGCCGCTGCGCCTCCTCTCACAACTGCGGCTCCTCAGCATGACCCGGAACGGCATCCGGACCATGTACGAGGACGCGTTCCGGGGTCTGGTGAGTCTGGAGGAGCTGTCTCTGGCGACCAACAAGATCGGTCACATCGAGGATGAGGCGTTCTCTGAGCTGCAGTCGCTGCGAACGCTCAACCTGAGCGGTAACCAGCTGACCACTGTGTCACCGGCCTGGTTCCGCCAGCTGGCTAACGTCACCACGCTGGACCTGTCAGGGAACCGGCTGCGGCACATGCCGGTCGGCGTGCTGGGCGGCATGGCGGCGCTACGGCGGCTGCTGCTGGCGGAGAACCACATCACCTCACTACACACAGCATCACTGCTGGGCCCGCGCAACCTCTCCTCGCTCGACCTGAGAGGAAATCAGCTGACGGCGGCACCGAGCGCGGCGCTGCGGCGAGCCGCCCACCTGGACACAGTGCGGCTGTCGGACAACCCGTTCGCCAAGCTGCCGGCGGCGTCGTTCGCCGGCCTCTCCGTCCGTGAGCTGGATCTGAGCTCGCTGCCGCGGCTGCAAATTATCGACAGCGGCGCGTTCGTCAACCTGAGCCGCCTGGTGGAGCTGCGTCTGAACGGCAGTGGCGCGCTGAGGTACGTGGCGCCGCGGTTTGTACACGGCGCGCCGGCGCTCCGCCGCCTGCTGCTGCACGACACGGGCCTGCTCAGCCTGGCAGCAGAGCTGGCCGAGGAGCTGGCCGCGCCGCTGCAGCTGTCTCTGTACGGTGCGCCGCTGCGCTGCGACTGCGTGCTCGCCTGGCTACCGACGGCGCTGGCCTCAGGCTCAGTGACGCTCGCCCAACCGGAGGGCACACTATGTAAGACACCCGAGCAGCTACGCGGACGCCGACTGGACGCGGTGCCGGCGGCGACGCTGGGGGACACCTGCGGTCCGACGTTGGTGCCGCTCGGACGGTCCACCGTGCGGCGCGACACCGGCCAGCGGCTAACACTCGAGTGTCGCGCCACGGGCCGGCCGGCGCCGCGACTCAGCTGGAGGTCACCGCGGCAGAACACCAGCCGCAGCGGTGGCTCGCTGCTGCTGCGCCACGTCACCGAGGCGGACGCCGGCCGGTACTGGTGTGTGGCCGAGAGCAGTCGCGGCACAGCCAACAGGTCCGTCACCGTGCGGGTCCAGGAGGTGGACATCCACCTCTTCCCCACCGGCGTCTCCTCCAAGTTCGTCACGCTGGTCTGGAACGGCACGGCGCGCAACAACTTCCCCCGCTATCAGCTGATGTACGGGCGCGCCGGTGAGGACGAGTCGGACTACGAATCGCGCATCGTCACCCCGTTCCACCGCTCCTACACTATCGGCGGTCTGCAACCGAGCACCAGCTACCAGTTCTGTCTCAGCTACCCGGACCGCGACAGCCGACCGGTGCGCATCTCCTGTACAGACGTCCGCACACGAGACGCCGCGTTCATGACGCGAGGCATCCGCCGAGAGTGGACGGCAGCGGCGGCGGCGGCGGCCGGCGTGGCGGCGCTCGTGCTGGCCGGTCTGACACTGCTGGCAGTGGCGGCACGCCGCTACCGCAGCCGGCTGAGGGAGGAGAACGACAAGGACACCGGCAGCCAGATCCCGCTGGAGAGCTTCTACAGCCCGCTGCTGAGCCAGTCGTCACCCAGCTGACAGTCACCGGCCGGCGGCGGCCGGCGCTCGGCGCCCTGTTCGCGCCAGTGCACGCCGCGGCCGGCCCACCGCAACAACCGCCGCCAGTCGACGCCGGCCACGGCCTCGGGCCGGCACCTGACGCCGCGCGGCGGCCGCGGCCCGCGCCGGCCGCAGTGCGACTGCGCCAGTCTGCGCGGTACGCCGCTGGCCGGGCGGCGGCCGGCCGACGGGGACGGCTCGGGGCCCAGCGGAGCCGCCGCCGGCCCCAGCGGGCCCACAACCACAGAGGCGGTGGTGGAGAAACCACCTGAGTCGACAGAGCCAGCGACCAAGGCGGTGACGGCCGCGGTGGAGCCGCGCCGCCACTCGGGAGGGGTGGAGCCCCGCCGCCACTCGGGTGGGGCGATGGTAATGCGCACAGACCATTCGGTCACAGAGACAGTGGACATTGAGACGGTGCCCATCATCGAACAAGAGCTCAAGAGCTAGAGCTGCCACAGCGCTGGGTGGCGGACGCGTTCAAACTAAGTGGCGAGCTTCGATGGAGATTGGAAAAACTAAACCTGGGCGGTCTCGGAATACCGGGCCAAACGTTCCCGTAATATTCACTATCGCTTCGAAGCGCTAACGCACCAAGTATTAGTGAATTCATGTGCCAAACACTACGCTTACCATTCACTGCACCAGCGCTTTTTAATGCACAAAAGGGGTTGGATGTCTTGTTTGCAGATGTGTTGCTTATGACGTGGAGATGTTATGATGTTGACAGAATATGAGATCTCATTAATACAATTCAACATTAAATGCATCCTTTTCCTCTAACTTTATGCTAGGAGAACAGCTCCTGCCAGACCCCAACAAAGAAATGACACACGAAATGAACCGTGCGACTGATCATGTCAACTGTCGACTCTACTACCAGCAGACGGCGGCCACAGACCATCTCCCGGCCACCTAAATCTCAGGAACCGTGTGGGAAGCCGCCATCCATCACTGTCCCGTGGGCGCCCCGAATCCGCCAAAGGTCAGCCGGACATAATGTAAATAATGGACATGGCCAAACCCCGTGCTCTAACGTTGTTCGCCCAGATTATTTACGGCTAACCCAATCAAAAACTAGTTCGGCAGCAAACTGGCGGAGCTTCAATTGCAAATTACATCCCACCCAGTTGTCGCCATCAATAACAGAGAATGTAAAAAGAGTGTTATCGATTGTTAGGTATATTTATGATGCAACTCCCGCACTCCATCTAAAAGTATGAATACTACAGCACTTTATGGGCATGCACACTAATAAAATGGATATACAACAGTGATGATGGGACGTCGACAGCGCATATGACTCCTCACAGAACCGTGTTAGCCCGCAGCTATTTCTAGCAGCCACACACGTCAGTCTGGTCTAGCATCAAACGAACCTCCATCTAAAAGACCTCGAATAGGTACGCCACTTGATCGCTCCTAACCAATTCTGACCCCTCAGTATGTTGGGCGAATATCGTCTTAACGGGAGCTTCACAACCGCTCAAATAACCCGACAGCTGGAGACGCATCGCCCCACCTAGCGGACTACACCCGTCTTTGGACACTTGGTCTGCGAGCCCAATATCGCAGAGTCTGAGTTTGCTGACCGAAAAGACCTACCGATCACCGGCTATAAGACATCACCCTCAGGTCTCCAGTCAAACTCAGGTCACCGCCGGCCACTGTCGGTCTCCTTCGGCACTCCCTTCTCTACTCACCCTGCGGTCGCCGTCCTCTCACCAGGGGCTGAGCGGGCTCACCAGCTCCTCAAACCACGACCGTGTCCGTGGGTCGGCGGGAGGCGGCACGCGTCCGGTCGCGGCGCGGTGCGGCGACGCGTTCTAGCTGTCCGGTATGCAAATCGAGCTCAGCACGGCGAAGCTGTCCGTGTAGCGGCGCTCGTTGTTGGCAGCGGCGGTGCGCCACTGATCGCGCACAGAGCGCCACCGCGCCAGGTGCCCGGCGAGAATTTGGCTCTTCGGCGGCGCGTCATCCGCCTGGGTGAGACAAAAGGGTGGGTTAGATTGAATCAGCACACATCAGCAGGTACCTTGTATATGGTATATGGCTACGGCGAAGGAGACAATGCACGGACAAACCCGGCTTGAAATACGGCGGCACCTAGCAGAACACATTTAAAGGTACAGTGCCAACTAACAGTGTGAATAGACCGAAAACAATTATGGGCCCATGTTCACAAGTTCATCTGAAGATTTGCCTAACAAATTCAGCCATCCTCTTATAAGCGGCATGACAAAACTTCGAAATGTCAGCAGTCATCGGCATATCACATTCACTATCAAACTACGTAAACATCCACGCAAACAACCCATTCCAATAACTACCGAAGCTCCCCGTCCCCCGCTGCCTGCCGCCATGTCCCCAGTCACCTTGCTGGGCTGCAGCTCGGGTAGCTGGACGGGGTCGGGCGGCCGCAGTCCGGCCGGCACGCGCAGGTTGGCCGGCTGGCCGTCCTCATCCAGTGGCGGGAACAGCGGCGGCGGCAGCTGGTACACCAGGTCGCCGTCGGACGGCTCCTCCTTGGGCTCGGCCTTTGGCGGCGGCGCGGCGGCCGTGCCGTTCGGGTCGTTGGCCATCCAGGCGCGGCAGACGGGGTAGAGCGAGGAGCCGGCCGGGAACTGCGCCAGGTTCACGCTGCGGTCGAACAGTTTCATCACGTAGGTGTCGGGCAGGCTGCCGGGCGCCGCCGGCTTACGGCGACGCCGCTTGGAGCCGCGGCTCGGCGACGATATGTCCCTGGCGAAAGGTAGGGAGCAAAAATCAGAGCAATATTCGCACTAGGATGTGTGGCAGGGCTGCAATGGTTGCACAGACTTAATGGTATACCTGGCTTCCAAAATCTACCACTGATCACAGCAGACTGCTAAGCTAATTATAGTTAGAAATCTGCCTCAAACAACGAAATAACTACACATGAGCTTTGATGCAACTGATTTATGACACATGTGAACAGTAAACTTGACAGAGCCCAACACTAGTCGTGTTTACATAGGGTTCCCTTAATCTTCCCCTATTTCTCCCCTATTTTCAGATCGAATTTTAGGCATCATAGCGCTCGCGTGTAACGTTGCTATGGACGCTATTGTTGTTAGAAGCATACTAAGCATCGTTTATGCTGTAAACAATATAAATTGGGCTTATTTAATACTCGAAATTCAACAATTCATATTTTGAAGTAATTTTATCCTGCCCTTCAATTCCCTGACGACGAATAGGGGAGGATTTGGTAGCGTAGCGCCTTTCCAAAAGCTGCTACGCTACCATATCCAGTGGTTCTCAAACTATCACATCACAAAAGCAGCGTGCTGATTGGCCGGCAGTTCCGAATCGTCCGAATGGTGGTCCCCGACTCGACAAGCGCACGTGCGCCGACTGAGGATTTTTAAGTGGCATTAACGCATAAACGGCAGAAAGTCAAGGCGGAAATTCGACAGGTGCGGTGTTCTGATATTGCCGTGGATGTGATTATACCTACTTGAATAATAGCTCAGCCGTTTAAAGTATGTTAAATGCCAGATAGTTTTCTGATTTTTCTTGCTTTGAGCTTTCATGTGCTATCACTTTTACCTCAGTGTCTAGTCTGGAAGCTATTTGGGAGAGCCCTAAAGGTAAGTAACAATTGCAAACTGCTTCTAGAATGACTTAGTTGCGCCATATTTGTAGTGAAGCGAGGTAAAGGAGACAGAGGATTCCTTTATAAGGGACATTTAAGAGACAAATAGGGGAAGATTAAGGGAACCCTATGTAAACACGGTTACTGCCACCTACACCAGCCAGCACAGTGTCACTGCCAGCACGGAGCTCACTGGATATCGATCAGGTTGTCCTCCTCCGAGCTGTCCCACTCCGAGCCACGTTTTCGGGAGCCGGCCGCCTGCAGCGCCCCCTGCAGCTGGCCACGCGCCTCGCTGATCGGGTCCATCGCTCTGGCTCCTGGAGGCACAAACATGTGTGTTGGGAGCCATCGCGAGCCACAGGGGTTGCAGGGCAACAGTCAAACAATGATCCAGAAAAAGGAGTGATGAGGCTAACCACTGATGTCCTGTACCAGTCATCAATGATGACTGGTACAGTGAATGCCATGTGAAAAGTCAAGTGTGTAAAAGTTGGTTTGCTGAAGCAATGCTTTTGAGAACATTAATCTCAGAAGGAACTTCAGCCCACTTGGCCGATTAATTTGTGATCATCTTTACAAGATAGCTTTATCCCTTCTACCAAGCGCCAGACCTGTCTTGATGCATGAGAGTAATCCCTGCTGAGCATGCCAGGTGCGAAATAGAGTGGTGTGAAGTTCATCCTATCCTCATGCCATTAACTTAGCAATTACCAGGCCCATTGTGCTGAAACTTGTCCTATAGGTAGGTCCCCACCAGGAAATGCATTCCCATGTCTCACAGTTGGGGTACTTATGCAAATGCAAGTGTGTACAGTGTGTCTAAAAAGAATGTACCGTCGCCACTACGTGGCGCTGGTGTCGCGAGCCGGTAGTTGGCTGAATCCGCACCAGACCACACATTCCCAAGCGCTAGGTGACAGCTGCGCAGCGGCCGGTAGTAGCGTAAGCCCGAACCTTCGTGACACGACCCCGGGGAGGGGGGAGGGAGGGGAGCGGGCGGGGCAGCGCGTGTAGGGAGGGGTGCTCCAGCAAGCTGGCAGTTGTCGCGGCCAAAGGTCAAGGGGTCACACACCAAGCGAACGGACGCTGATGTGGGTTCGTGGGGATCATGAACTTGTGTGTGGTAGGTGCGTCTTGCGATGCACGGGTGATACGCCAGGTCTATGCCAAAGGATTCAGGGGAGAGCTGAAGAAAAACATCTGGTCAACTACGGCGAATAATGGTGCTGAAAAATGGAAAGTAGGTATGGGTCAATGCAAGCCTTCATGACTATAAACAACTTTTCTGAGGACGCAAAGGCCAGCATTGAATAACGATATCCGGATCGAAATTAGCAATGATTTATAATTAAATGCTGAACTGATAGCGCTGCAAAACCCTCCTAGTAAATTGTCAAGTCGGATTATACCCACTTGAATTAAACTATCCTAAATAAAATTGTTAATTAACTTTCTAACACTGACGTTCTTTATCATACGATAAGTATGGGGTTAACCAAGATTCAGCATCTTCCGCGTTCAAACAATCACCTGTAAGGCTAGAACATTAATGGCCAGGTAAAAACATGGTCGGGATTTGATTAACCGGATTATAAGTCAATTTTTTTTAGTCGGGATTTGATAAGTCGGATTTTTTTACGCCAACCGCATTTTTAAAGGGACACTCCCACCTTAACATTAGTTTTGAGTTGAGATAGCCAAATTGGTGGCCATGGCCTGCAAATACCGGTTTGGGCACTCACAACATCGACAAATGCTTTAATTCGGAGATATGGAATTTCAAACTTGCAGTTTTCGGATTCTAAGGGGCTAGTGCATTGGTATGCCCCCTTAGAATTTGTGACGTCAGCGGAGATCTAACGATTTTTAAATCTTTTACTAAAACGTTTGGTAGCACGCGGTGGTATATGCTGCTTTGCGCGCAACAAATGCCGCACTTTCAAATAAAGTCGATAGGAACAGCGGAGATCCCAAAAAGTAAACAAAAGTAAAAGTCTAATATCTTGAAAACCGGTGAATATTTTTCGATGAAATTTGGTAGATATTCGTTTTCGCTCTTTCTGAACCGAGCGACATCACTTTCGTGCCAATTCATTAACTTTTTTGAAGGTGGGAGGGTCCCTTTAAGTCAAGTCAGGTCACTGATCTATGACGTCATAAATGAGCAGTCCTAAAATGAACTGTGTGAAACTGTCCTAAACTGTCCTAAAATGAACATTTTAGGACTGAGCTAAAATGTTCCAACTTCGCAACACCCTCAGTGCAGAGCTTTCATAGGGAGATGAAACTTACAGGATCTTATAGTATGATCGAGAGGTCTCACAACTTGTATAAATGTATATCTAGGATTTTCTGAAGGGTCGCCTGAGATCAGGTCAGTCTCTCACCATTAAAAGTCAGGGGAATATGGAAATAGCTAGTTTGGTCCGGAAATGATATACAACTATCTCAAATTCTCAAGCACACGGAATCGTGATTTCATGCGCTCCTTGCAAGGTCTGATGCTTCAATTTTGCTTTGTTGATCTTGCGTGACGTCATTTATCACGTAACTAAGGCTATCAGTTTTTCGTCAATAACTCCCGATCAACTAAAGCTACCGAGTCGATAAAGCCACTAATGGACATGAAAAGACCTGCCGAATCGATTGATATGCAATATGACCTCCTTTGACCAGCTTCGTGACCTGACGGGCTGTGACCTGACCTTGACCCGAGGTTAACACCTTAACTCTCGCCCGTATTGGTGTTTTTCCAGCCTCAAACGTATAAGGGTCCGTTGGACCCCCCTTGCCGTTTCGCCCCTGATCGAGCTAGAGCTTCGCGGAAAAAACGAGCGTGTTGGCCGTGACGAGAGGAAGTCGATGATACCCAATTTTAAGGTCCTAGGTCATCGGTTGACTTTGCAGGTCAGGTCAATGACCCAAAAGTCGGGGAAATCGGGACCTGTTAGAAAGTCGTAAAGCGTGGCTGCTATGGGGTTTTCGGGGTGCTGATCACGAATATCATGTTAGTTTTGATCACAGATGATGTCTTCATGCATTTAGGCCAGGTCGGGTCAGGTCAGGTCAGGTCAACCAGTAAGGGTATTCGTAGTAGGTGGCAACCGCCTCTGACAGCTTCGCAACATGTTACGAGGGCACCAAAACTACTTCGTAAATGTTCATATGGCTGCTAAATTCGAATTCAGCTCCTAAAACTGGCCTAGAAACATGTAAAACTCGAAAAAGTGAACCGAGGTCATCAAAGGTCAATGACCTGACCTGACTTTCCGGTGACCTTGACACCCACCCTAATGCATGGAAGCAAGATCATATCCCATGTTTGAACGCTTAAAACCACGAAAAGACTGCAAACGCGCCGCTAATGCGAGCCGACATACGCCGAATCGCGATTCCGGCCAAACATGGTCTCGAAAAGTAGGTCGCAGGTCAAAGGTCATTAAGGTCAGGGTCATGACAATTTCAGGGTGGGTGTAAAATTGATTAACGCGAGGGTACTGAAAGTTTCGTCGCGATCGGCCGCTTTTTACGCGAGTTATTCGCGAAAAATCGAGGGAGGGGGTCCGTTCGAACCCCCCCCCCCCCTCTATACGGGCGAGGGTTAAGTTGATCTCACCCGAAGAAAAAGTATACCATTCGACACGCCTGAGCTTGACAAACACGATGCTGCTAAAATCGCGGATCTGCGATCATTTTTAGCGAAGTTATTTACCAAAAACCGAACCTGTGCCTTGGGCCACTTGACCTGACCTCCGAAGTCATCGGCTGACCCTGGTCCTTAAATCGGAGACCAATCGCTGCATTTCGTAACGACACACACGATCGTTTCTTTCGTGAGGCTCTAGCTCAATTAGGGGCGAATCGGCGAAGGGGGTTGTTTCCTCACTTCCAACCCCCAACGTCCCCTCGGTATTCAGAAAACCTGAAGGTCCGGTGAGGGTTAAAACGTTTCTCCTGAACGAGGAAGAAATGTGAAAGTCAAAGCTCTATAGACGTCCTGTAAAAGTGGCCATAATAATAAATTCGTTAGAAATAAGATGCTTTTTAAACGACTTCCTCATATAAAATCGGGTGCTGGGACCAATCTTATAAACGCTTTAGAATGGAAAGGGTGTCACTGGCTAAAGTTTGGGTGCAGAAAACGGCTATTACCTAAATGCAAAATGGTTTTCATGCATTTCAGTCAATTGTATATTGTCGGTCCCAGTGGCCGAGCTAAAAAAAAATCGGTAGTGTTTTGCATCTTTTACGCCCTAAGAAACTACACCATCTATCGAAGTGGGCGGGCTTATTTGAATGGGAGGGCGCATTATGCACGAATCGTGTGCTTTCGTTTATTTTGGACTATTTTACCACATCCACTGCTGGTATCACTATTAATATTATCTAATGCCGTGAATACGACAGCATTCCATTTATAAGATTGGGGCAATGGAGTCGCGCCCCGCGAGCTCGGTTTTCCGCTGGGCCGCTACAGGCCAGGAAGTCGGTCTTCGCCTGAGGGCAGGACAAAGGTCAGCAAGGGTCAGCCAGGTATCGCCAAGTGCCGAGCGAAAGCCGCTCCCTCCCCTCTCTTCCCCTCTTCTCCCCTCCCCACCTCGGTACAGATGGGGAGGGACCGAACTGCCAATGACATGCGAGCGGTCAAGGCCGCTCGCGCGGCAGCGATCCTGGCGGCCGGGTGCCGCAACTGGGATTCAGCCAAGTTACCGATTCGCCTCCTGTGGGAGACCCAAACCAGGGGACATACTTTTTAGATATACTGTACATGCGCAGGCCTTTTCCAGATTTTGGGAAGGTGGCCGGGCTAATTTCCTTCCCTGACCTGAAAATGACCTCAGTAAAAATTGTAGACCTTGCCCGTGCGTATCCGATGCCGTTTACCGCTTGTCGCTATCTTGCTTCGTTCTCGAGATCTTAGGGGGGGGGGGGCGGTCATCCGCCCCCCCCCCCCCGTCGGTACTAAGTTGGCGCAGACCCCCGTCGGTGCGAGTGTTAACCCTCGCCAGGCGAGGGCCTTTTCCATAACACGGACGGCGAGGGGGGGGGAGGGTTGGTACACTCGGGGGCAGATTGATGTTCCACCACTCCCTACCCATCGGGCTCCCATGGCTCAGCACTGGCTGCTGCCAGTGGCAGCACTGGCAGCACTGGCACGGCAGGCAGTGCTGAGCAGTGCTGAGGGCAGGCACCACTGGTTGCTGCCAGTGCTGAGCCATGGGAACCCGATGCAGGGCAGGGAGTGGTGGAACATCAATCTGCCCCCGAGTGTACAGTATGTCTAAAAAGAATGTACCGTCGCCACTACGTGGCGCTGGTGTCGCGAGCCGGTAGTTGGCTGAATCCGCACCAGACCACACATTCCCAAGCGTTAGGTGACAGCTGCGCAGCGGCCGGTAGTAGCGTAAGCCCGAACCTTCGTGACACGACCCCGGGGGGGGGAGGGAGAGAGGGAGGGGAGCGGGCGGGGCAGCGCGTGCAGGGAGGGGTGCTCCGGCAAGCTGGCAGTTGTCGCGGCCAAAGGTCAAGGGGTCACACACCAAGCGAACGGACGCTGATGTGGGTTCGTGGGGATCGTGAACTTGTGTGTGGTAGGTGCGTCTTGCGATGCACGGGTGATACGCCATGGGTCTAAGCCAAATGATTCGGGGGAGAGCTGAAGAAAAATACCTGGTCAA